CCTTTCCCAGCACATCCACAGCCTTTCCCAGCACATCCAGTGCCTTTCCCGGCGCTTTTTTCAGAGGCAGCTCCGATTTTGGGCGATGCTTTGGGAGTCTCAGGTTTGGTGTCTTCTGCTGTTGGGGTGGGAAGGTCCCTTCAGGCCCCCCGGGGGTGACTGTGGAGCACCAGGGGAGGGAGCAGCCCAAGCTGGGGAGTGGCTCTGCTGCAACCCCGGCGGAACAGGGGGTGGGAGGGGGCACAGAGGGCGAGTTGGGCAACGGGAGCTGGTGGAAAACCCTGCCAAGGGCAGGTTGGCACCGCGTGGATCCGGCTGGGGAGGAACCAGGGGGTGTTGGGGTGGCAGAGGAGAAGCTGGGAGGGTGCTCTGGCTGCACCCTGGCAGGGATGTGTCGTCTGGCAGCACTTGGGGTGAGCAGGGGAGGGCTGGGAGCTGCTCCCACAAGGTTTGGGGGGTGGCAGGGGGGTGGGAGCCGGGCAGTGAGCAGCTCCTGCACCTCCTGCACCCCCAGGAATGCTGCTCCCGAGTGCTCTGCCCACTCCTCTCCCCTTTGTCCAGGGAGATGAACAGGCAGGGAAATCTCAGCTTTGAGTTTTCCCTTGGATTTCCCGAGAAGTGAAGCTCCTGGTTTTAGCATCCCGACCTTTATTTGCCAGCGGGTTCGGGACAGGGGTTCCACAAAAGCACAAAATCTCTTCTGGTTCAATGAGAATTGGTGGAGACTGGGCTGAAGCTGCTGGAGGGGGGGGAAGGACTGAGCAGTTGTCCCTTGGCTGTTGGACACGGGACACCCGGGTGGAATCCAGGCTCTTCCAGTTCTGCCTGTGGTCTGCCTTGGGCACCAGCAGCATTTTGGGTTGTTTACACTGGGCAGGAGAGCCCAGAGTGGGTTGTGCTGGGCTCTGAGAGGATCCCAGACATTCCCAGAGCTGTGCTGGGCTCTGAGAGGATCCCAGACATTCCCAGAGCTGTGCTGGGCTCTGACAGGATCCCAGACATTCCCAGAGCTATGCTGGGCTCTGAGAGGCTCCAGACATTCCCAGGAGCTCCTGGCCCAGGTGTACATTTGTGCTGGAGTTTGGAGCTCGAAATGGGGTCAGAGACAACCCACAGAACTCAGCTGGGACGTGCTGGGAGGGGCTGATCCCTGTGCCTTCAGTAAATAGTGGGGGATTCTTGTTTTAACCGGACTTGTGGGTCCTGGAAGGTCCTGGAAGAGCCTCTGGAGCTGCTGACTCAGCCCAGGAGAACGTGGACTCCACACTTCCACGGCTCACGGGGCAGATGTGCAGCACTTGCCCTGCTCTGGGGGACTGATCCCTTAAAAACTCCCCCTGGAAGGAGCAGGAGCAGTCCTGGGGTGCTGCTCGTGGTCCTGCTCCTCGAGATGTCCCCCCACAAACCCTCAGCCCGAGGAATCGGCTCCTCCCCTTCCATTTCCAGCCGGAATTTGGCAGAGCCCAGCCCGGGCAGCGCTTTGTCCCCTCCCTCCTCTCTGCAGGAAAGGTGTGAATTGTTCCCCGATGTGTCAGGAGAGCCTGGATCGCACCTGATGCCTCTTTTCCAGCTGTACCAATTACACTCCACACCCTCCCGCCGGGGAGGTGTCACAGGAAGGGTTAGGGAGGGATGAGTGAGGGGAACACGGGAGCAAAGGAATGAAGAGCTGGGGGAAGGCAAAGGACAGGTGGGTTCTGAGGTGTGGAAGCTGCACATCCCCAGGGAATAGGGACCAGGGAAAGCTGAACATCCATAGGAAACAAGGACCAGGGAAAGCTGCACATCCCAGGGAACAGGGACCAGGAAAAGCTGCACATTCCCAGGAAACAGGGACCAGGGAAAGCTGCACATCCCCAGGAAACAGGGACCAGGGAAACAGGAACCAGGAAAAGCTGCACATTTCTCTTATTTCTTTTATTTCCCTTATTTCCCTGATTTCTCTGATTTCTCTTATTTCTCTACTTTCTTATTTCTCTAATTTCTCTAATTTCTTTCATTTCTCTTATTTCTCT